GCTGGGCGGCTGCTGGAATGGCTTGAGAGTGAACCCCAAGGTAGAACGAGACGAGTGAATTGCATTAGTGATCGGTAAGCGCTTATCGAAGAATGTCAATATTGTTTTAAAGTTACCGAAATTCCCATCAGAGAATAGAGATTAAGCAGAAGGAAATCTGGTCTGCACAATATACAAAAGGTTGCCAGTTTTATATTCATCCAAAAGGGAACGTAATCTAATCCGCTGGTGGGCACAAAGGGCCGGAAAAAAATTGCCCGGCAGACAGTATTCAGGAGGGGCTTAAGAAAATCCAAGAACTGTGAGAACACGCTTACTGTGGAAAAGAAAATTCTATTTCTCAAAAACCCCTTTCAGGGAGTTGCGGCAAGTGACCTTCCAAAAAGACGTCTTGACCGTGTGCGTGCACAAAAGAAACCCTCTGCATGCTCTGCACCTGCCATGGCCAACGGTCGCTTAACTGCATTATTGCGTGCTCCCTCTTTCACTCCTCCCTCCCCTTTTCTCTGGACTGGGTCTGCCAAACTAAACTAAACTAAAATTAAACCAATAAGCTAAATTAAGACTAAGACCAAAGTAAAACTAATAAAACCAAAATTAACTACAGGACTAAGGGTATCTAAGGTGGTAGACCAAATGTATTGCTAGCGAAAACGCTATATTCCACAAAGTTCCCTTTCAAAGGAATGCCGTAGGTGAACTCCTAAGAGGGTGCCTTGGCCAAGCCGTGTCAAGAACCTTCCTAGCAGCGAGAGTTTGGATATCATTCTCAACCAACCTGGTCTTGCACGGGGAAGGTCAGGATAGATTGCCAGCTCGCACCATCTCCATGTGCCTCTACTCATTCAGTTGCTCGTGTGGAGCAGGTTATATTGCTCCTATCCAAAAGCATACCGGAGCACCTGCCGGCATGGCTGAGAAAAGTTGGATTCAGGAACATAAGCAGCGCTATTCTTGAGCACAATGTTGATGCTGGTGGAACTCAACGAAGCCTACCCCAAGTCCCTGGGTCGGCGTCTGCTAGCAACAGCGGAAGCGGCCGCTATCAGGTTGAGGAAGCCGGTCTTGTGTGCGCAAAAGAACCTCCTGCAAGCTTCGCGCCTGGTATGGCCAACGGTCGTTTAGCTGTATAAACTTTTCGTGTTCTCTCTCTCTCCTTCCACCTCCCCCTAGATCGCCTCCACG